TTCTTTTCTTTTTCTTGTTCAAATGCTCTAAAAATATTTGTTACTTCAGCAGTAATGATTCGAAGTATTTACATTTCTGGTTCCTTTGATATTATTCATCTGATAGTGTGGTCTGGTATTGCCCAATGTATGAGAATGTATGAGGGAAGGAGAAATGAAACAGAGCTGTCTGTTGTTTTTTTAAGGAGTTTTAAGATAACATTTGGGCTTTCTTTTATTCCTGCTCCAGTCAGCAAATTCCATGTGAAATATCATTGAGTGATTACTATTAAAGGAAAAGCAAGTATATTACATGAACTGTATTATGATACTTGTGAAAGAGAAAAATCTGTGTCATTAAAAATATTAATAAAAAGAAAGCAGCATAGATCTTCATTTATTTATACATTTCTTTTCCCTCAGAACCCTCTTCAAAGGATATACCCTGGAATGAGGCAAAGACACGCTTAGCTTTTTTCAGAATTCTTTTTTCTACATGGTCTAAGCTTGTAGCGATGCAAGCAATTATTAAGTAGCCTGTAGAATTGAATATGCCTTACCCACCTCCCCTCCCTGTAAACACAATGGACAGGATTTGGCCAACTATGATGAAGTGTTTATGAATGTTCAACTATGTTTATGATTGTTCAACTCTAGGGATTTTCACACAATAAGTATGCAGTGTTGCTATTCAGATTTTGCATCCTGTTTTCATGACCAGTTCCCTTAAAAATTGGCCAGGTTGTTTCTGAAGAAGGTTTTGGAATAATTTATCACCTTGCAAATTTTGTAGTAGGTAAATGGTTTTGGCAAAAATATATCTACTTGGTAACCTAATTTCAATTTCTAGATACATTTTGCAGAACTGAAAATGAGGTTATGTGCATGAGTTTCTCAAACTCTGTAGTGGGAAATAGGAAAACATCCCAGTTTGCATTTATAGATTTTTCTTGACCTTCTGGTATGTGGTACATCCCTCCTTTTCAATTTGCATATGTTAAAGAACTTAGAAGAAAGTGAGTAGATATTTGAAGTCATTCCTGGCCTTCAAATTCTAACTCTTTTATGATATCCAGGGAAATATATTTCATCTCTTTAAACCTCAGTGGCCTCATCTGTAAAGCTGAGAATAACAGCACCTTTTTTTTATAGGGCTAATGTGAATATTAAATAAGATGTTGCATATGAAATGCCTTCTATGCTTTGTAGCACTTAAAAAATAGTAAGAGACAAATTAAAAATGAATTGTATGAATGTCACTAAATGAACTGGAAAGTTTATTATTGTCTGGGCAGTTTCTCTATGAAAAATGGAAATAAATGGTCTAAAATGGATATTACTAATGGCAGGTTATGTTGCCCTATTGAGAAATTATATTTTAGTCCCTCATAGATGCTTTCTAATTCCTTCCTAGAAGATTTCTTGATTAGTTAGTTGTCACTGAGTACATTTGCATTTCTAAGATAGAAAACATACTGATTGTGCCTTTGTTGGGGAGATATAGAAGATCCTATTTGGCATGTCAAGACCATGTGCCCATGTTAAAGGAAGTAACAAGAAATTTCAGTGCCACAGAGAAGAAACTGTTTGCTAGAACAGAATTAAAATAACAGGTATATCATAGGATTTATTTATTTCTTAACATTTTACTTTTTGTTTTAATTGTATTTGAATGACAGAGATGCACAGAGTGGATATCTAGCTGCTGGCTCATTCCTCAAATTTCTGAAGCACCTAGGGTTGGACCAGGCTGAAGCCAGGATCCCAGTGTCAATAGGGGTCCCTAGTATGGGTGATAGGAATTCAAGTACTTTATTTACCACCTGCTAATTCCCAAGATGCAGTTAACAGGAAGCTGGTTTGGATGCAGAGGAACAAGAACTGGAACCAAGCATTCCATAATGGGATTATGGAATCCCAAGTGTCCCAAGCAGTGACTTAACTGCTACACCAAATGCCAGCCCCAAATTGGAATTGTTAGCAACAATGTAAGTAAATTGATGTGGAAAAAAATAGGAAACTCAAGCATTCAGCCTGAATAGTGAGAGCAAATATCTAGATAATTGTAAAATGTATACTTTTTATTTTCTGTAAATATCCATCAATATAGAAGTATAATAGTGGGATGAGCAGAGCACTGGTTCCAATCCCAGATACTCTGTTCTGATTTAGTTACCTGGTAATGTGCCTGGTAGTCATCAGTTGATGACCCAAGTTCTTGGGTTACTGCTAACCACATGAGAGACCTTACTGGAATTCCGTGCTCCTTTTTGCTGCCTGATTTGGTCCTGCCTGTTGCACAGGTTTCGAAGAGTGAACCAATTGCTGGAAGAGCTCTCTCTCTCTCTCTCTCTCTGTCTCTGTCACACCTTCAAATAAATAAATCTTACAAAGAAACACTACAATAAAATTTATGTCAGAGCAAAAGACAAATTTGTAGAATCAAATGTAAAGGGAGATGACGCTAAGTAGACTCAGCTTTCTATGTTTTTGCAAATATGCTTAATGAGTTCGTATAATATATACATAGCTACACATTGCCCTTTCTTAGACACATCCTAATGCTGTGGATCCTATAAAAGGGAAGATTCAAGGAGTTAAAGTGCAAATACATGGTACTGTCACACTGATACTGAAATCAAGGCTGTGTGTGATTGCATTTTAAACATTACCACCTCCTTTACTGTGTGTTGGGAACTCTTGTCTGTGATTTCTATTAACTCATGCTTGAAATTCAAGTTGTCAAATTAATATTTGGTGCATTACCTTACAAAGCTGTAAGATGTTGGAGAGAAAACTATTTCAGATAGAAGGAACTCACATGTGGTATGGAGTCTTAGGAAATCACAACTCAATTTGGGAAGCTCATGTGTCTTAGCTGTGATGTGTAACTGATAATGAGTTAAATTTGAGACTTGCTATTCATCTTTTCTCTTTGTGTGTGTGTTTTTGGCTTGGAGCTTCAGTCAGCCTGCTTTGCCCACAAACAAGAAGTGATGAAATGCAGTGGGTCTGTTCTGAGGTGCTCTGGCTCTTATTACAAAGAAACATCTATTCTTTGTTCACCAGGGAAGCACAAAGATGCTCTAAAACTGAGAAGTAACCAGAAGAGAAGGTGCTGGTGCCAAGGGCCACTTCTTAGGTTTCAATTGTTTTAGGTCAGAATACTGGTGCTGTAGAAGGTTCACACACACACAAAAAGAAACCATTTGGTTATCAGAGTTCAGTTCAAACAAGGAGCCTTGCAAGTAGATCTCAAGACTCATTGAAGCAATTGATTGATCACTAAAAGAAAGCAAGACACTGTTTATTTTTCTTTTATAAACCTATTGCTTTGAAAAGTTTTCCTTTGTTCCTTGAATATGGTTGGCTTCACTAGAGACATTTACCTCAAGAGAACAAAGTTCCGTATGTTGTCTTAAATACATAATGAAAATTGTGTTGCTTAGCTCTTCAAGGAAAGGGCTATTTGTACTGTGTATTAAATTAAGTTCTATGTGCTATACTGCCATAAGGGCTTCAGAAAATTTTGTAGTGAAGCCCCCAGACTATTAGTGCTGTCTTCATAGTACTTTGAATTCAATATATTTGTTTGTAATACTATACCTGTTGGTCAAGGTCTTTTGCTCAGACTGACAATCATGAAATGATTCCTATATGCTCCTCACAGGATTAGTTAGTGTCTTCTTTGTCTTTTAAAGCATTTTTAGCATAAATATTATTTTAAACTTTGGCTTTGAAATATATCTTTTCCTCTTAATTCTTTGTGCTCTTATTTTTAAAAAGATTTTATTTTTATTATTACTATTATTGGAAATGCAGATATACAAACAGCAGAAGACACAGAAAGAAAGATCTTCTATCTGTTGGTTCACTCCCCAAGTGGGCTGCAATGGCCAGAGCTGTGCCAATCTGAAGCCAGGAGACAGGAGCCTCCTCCATGCCATCCAGGTGCAGGGTTCTAAGGCCTTGGGCTGTCCTCTCCTGCTTTGCTAGACCACAAGCTGGAAAGGAAGTGCAGCAGCACACATATGGGACCCCAGTGGGTGCAAGGCAAGAATTTAGCTACTCAGGCTCTGTGCTTTTATTAATCTAAAGGACTGACATACTAAGCTCCAATTTTGTAAAAGAGATTATGGGAAAATAGGTATGTATCAGTAACAGCAATGCCTTTTTCTTTCATTTGTTTTTTCCATTTTTCTTATGTTTCAAACCCTGTCTCTTCTGTGTGGATTTTTCTGCAGATTATGATGTCCAGCTCATTCATGGGGGGTAGGGGATGAGTTTTTATCATAGCCACAGTTTTTGATTTGCAAAGGTAATACAGGGAATTCCCTCTAAGTTCATATCCAATTTCCCTTAAAAGTATCACCTTACTTAGAATGAGACTTGTACTATGATTAATGAACCAGTACTGATATACTATTTTTTTTATTAAGACTAGAGCAATTTTCAGATTTCCTCAGTTTTCCCTTAATGTTCTTTTGCTCCAGGATTCCGACAAGAGGCTACGTTGCATTTTGTTCTCATGTGTCTAGTCCTGTGGCAGTTTTTGAATTTTCCTCGCCTTTGGTGATCTTGACAGGCTTGAGGGTTACCTGTTAGGAATTTTGAGGAGTGAATCACAGTCAAGCTAGTTTTGATGTTTTCAGGAAGAGGCTGCACGAATGTATTTTGGGGAGGAAAGCCTTGAAGGAGAATTGACATTCTCAGCACATTTTTATCAGTTCCCATCATCAGCAGGACTCAGTACTCTTGATAATGATCCTGATCTTTTGTCTTGACATATTTTTCAGATTAGAGTCATGGTTTTACTTTTTTTTTTTAAATAGAGAACCATCAAAGCATTTTTCTGAAGATTTTCATAGTTACTCAGTAAAACTATAAGGAGGCTGGCTGCATCTTCTCTTTATTGATGTTGTAAAGCTTCTATATGTTTCTAAGTGTTCAAACAAAAAGAAATTCAGCAGTGTAAAGAGTATCTTGTGTTTTGTTTTGTTTTGTTTTTTTGTGTGCTGTAGGTGGGAATGCGATCCCGAAACCAAGGTAGTGAAAGTTCAGCTAACGGGCATATCTCCTGCCCCAAGTCCTCCATCATCAGCAATGCTGAAGATAAAAGTCTCTCTGAAGATTCAAAAAAGAAGAACAAATCAAATAGGAAAGAGGAAGATGTCATGGCCTCAGGAACAGTCAAACGACACCTAAAACCATCTGGAGAGAGTGAACGGAAGACTAAGAAGTTCCTGGAGTTATCCAAAGAAGACCTTCTCCAGCTGCTCAGCATAATGGAAGGAGAGTTGCAGGTAGAGTCAAATGTTCTCAACTTTTATGTCTCTAGTTCCTAAAATGTGAAAGGAGAGATAATCAATTGAATCCCCTGGCTGCATTTCATAGAAGGGAAAGAGTGGTTCTCTTCCTTCTTCATTTTGGAATCTGAAGTGCCTGCAAGTTTGCACTAAGTGAATACTTGCTCAGTAAGTGGCAAGTGAAAAGTTGCCGATTCCAACTTCAACTTTCCTGGAAGCAGAAAATGTCATCATGGTACAATTTTGGTAATAATTTAATACAGAATATCTAATAAGTTGTCTAATTTAGTCATCAATTGAAAAACAAAATTTATAATGATTAGAATGGAAAGTTAAGGTGAGTTGTTCCTTTCTGGTGGCAGTGTGGGCATTTTGTTGAAATCATCATTACTTTTTTACTTTTTCTCATTGTTTTCATTACATTGAACCTCATTTTTCTGAGTGTCGTAGGTGGTGAGATATACACAAATAAGCAGAGATTGCACTGTGATGAATATAATAATTTCCTAAGCATTTTCAAGTCCATTATCATAATAAAAATGGGGTTATCATTACCTATATTAGCTATGTTTATTATTTTATAAATGAAGACCTGAGATATTGTTTGTTCAGGTATCACCCCAGACTTCCAATTTTGGTCCGATGATCTTCCCACTGCCCACACCTGCTGACCTTATCTGGTTGCCATGAACCAGCTTCCTGCATGAAGTCTTTGTTTTCAAGGATACAGGAGGCAATTGGGATCCTTCTGAGTTTCTGAGTCCTGGATAATTATGTTCTGTTTTTGTTTTTGTGGACAGAATGACTTAAGAATAGAAACGTAGTTTTCTTTTTTTGTTTTTGTTAGGCTCTTAGCTTGCATGAGCCTGAGGAAACACTAACAATTGTGTGAAATGAACTTCTGTTGGCTTACTGGTGCTGTTAGCATCGGAAAGGTAATTTTCAACTTAACCCAAATGAGGGTGGGCCATTCCATTTCTGGTTCCTGTTCTCATATGTGTGTGCAATACAGATAAGAAAATCCCCAGGGTAAGGAGAAATATAAAACATACAAAACTCTGGTTTAAAATAAGCGAACAAACATGATTTAATTCACAACTTACAAACTGAGAAACATCACATTTACATTTCACAGCAAAAGATGAAATATTCCAGAGCACCACCACTGCTAAAAATAGCTTCACCACTCCCAGGAATGTGGTGGTTGGGTTTTGTCTGCTAGCATTTGTTGTGTAAGGAATCAGTTACTCTCAACTCTTTAAGCTGTCCCCTACAGACAGCATTGTTCATGAGTAAAGCTGAAAGGTATGATTGTTAGAATTTTTTACAGGGCAACACTGCAAATTCATGCCTTTTCAGCCCTGGCTGTTCTTGTGCAGCCTGTGGCTTCTGCAGATACTGATTTCTATAAAAGGCTATTGTATTGTAGTGAACTCTGAAAGGCATTTAAAATTCGTGGCTTTTTTATTACATATTGGTACTAGATATGGTTCCAGATGCAAAATATAAGCTCACACATCAATGTCATTGAAGAAGTTTTCCAGAAGGAGCCAAAGAAATGCAAAGTTTGCTTTCTACTAATCTTTATGATTAGAAGATCCTTATTATACACAGTAGATGTATTTCTGGGTAGCCATTTATAAGAAAAATATGTAAGCCATCACTTGTGGGCAAGATAGTGAAGGGGAAAGAGCATTAAGGATTTGGTTTTTAAGGAATTCCATGATAAATTAATTTGCAAGGCAAATACTCTTATATTCATATACACTTGTACATGATTACCATCTATTTATAAATACATATTTGAATATTAGATTTGCTTAAAATGATAATGTTTCTATATTTAAAACCATACTTACAATGAACATTTGTCTGCCACCAACATTGTCCCATGGTGAGGAGGAGTGTGTTGTAGCCAAGAGAGACAAACAGTTGGCATTAGTAAATGAGAGTGGGTTGGTGAGAATGTGGCAACTATGTGCTAGGTTTGCCAAACTAGAATTTAAAAATTATCAAAAATTGTACTGAGGGGCTGATGCTGGGAGAAGAAACTGGGATGTGCCTTGTAAGTTATCTTCAGCTCAGCTTTCTATGCCCCTTGGCTTCACACATATGGAATGCTTAGTCAGATATGTCCTAGATCTCAAAAGGTCACCTGTTACATATTTTCTCTCTTAGAGTGACTGTGTGTCTCTAGTTCTCATCCTCTAGAGGTGGCATTCCATGGTTCTTTAAAATACGGAAACTGCTGGGTACCTTTGAAGTGTCATATCTGTACTACTTTGTTTATGTCTAAGCCATACTGATAGACTGGTTATGGGACTGGCCAAAGTTCATCCAGCAATTTAGTTATGGTTGCTCTGGATGCAAATAACTTCAGTGAAATCCTCTTCCCATCCTATCACATACAGAATATTCTGGTGATTCTTAAGGATGCTTAAGGATGATTAAGGGCTCAAGAAACTTTATATTTATTCTTTTTTTTAAATTTATTTTTTCTTATATTTTTGACAATCTTTACATAGTTAATTGGGGTAAAAAGGCTCTAGGTCTATAAGATGTTTATTCTTGAGATCTGGAATTTCTTTTGTGTAGATTTACATTATAAGCTCCTAAGTTACAGCCACTTTGGAGGAAGGTACAACTACTTAAGGAAGAGAAATCGAAGGCAGCTTCTTTCACATCAGGGAAATGGAATGAGATCTGAGTCTTGAAGTTAGGTAAGATCCAGATAGTGAGGAATGGCATGAATGGCTTGTGGCCTTTCAGGCTGAACACCATATAGCTCTCAGGTCTTTATAATCATGATTCTGTGGATGGTGTCCCCTGAAGAGTTGTAGCAATACAACCTTAAGGGACCACATTTATGGGTCAAAATAAGTAGGGTCAGATGCAAAGAAGGGCCTTGGAAGAAAACCTGGAAAGTGACTTTCTGTACATTAGTGTCTTGCCATTGTTAGATTCTGTTGAGTGATCTTTAGGAATTTATTGAACCAACACTATAAATAGTGTGACTTTTATTGTTAGTGGTGGCTCTTACAATGTTTTCAGATTTACTGTTTTGTTTATTAATCCACATATGCTAAGGACTGTGTGTATAGAAAGTATTATTTATTTTTTGAAAGGTAAGGAGAAAGAGAGACAGAGACTGTCTGCCAGGACCTCTGCCCAAATATCCGCCAACAGGCAGAATGTGTGGACCTGGGTTCATACTGTGGTAAGGGATGCAGATCTGTGTCTCAACTGCTAGGCAAAATGGCCACCTGTTTGTAAACCATTCTATTGTACCTTTCATGAACACAAATTAGAAAGGCAGTTGCCCTCCCCAGGTGTTTTTGCATTTAAAAGTGTCTTGTTTTGAATCACTAACATCATGACCCTTTTCTTGGAGAAATACGTTTTTCAGTTACAGCTCAGCAGATGCAGGCCTGCCCTACGGGCACAATGAAGAACAAGTGTTACTCAGGAAGAAGTAGCTGGGATGGTTTCCATTATTGCGCGTTTGTCATTGACTGCTTCCAATAACAAGTTCTTTCTAATAAATGGCAACATTTTTACTTTCTGGGTGAAAAAGTGGTTAAATATTTCCCAGACTAAACTGAAAGTAGTGAAGTTGGACACCCAGACCATCACTTGGGCACCATGATTTTCATTATATTTGTCCAAAAATAGCACTTTTAAAAAGCCACTTAACTTAGCTGTACTATAACCAACAAAACTTTGAAAGCAGTGCTAATAACATCAAAAAGGCATAATACAGAATACTTGGAAAAAATGTACCCTTATAAGATGATTTAAAAAGACAAAAATTCTTTTTCTTGATAAAAAATAACTAACAAAAACATTAGCAATTACATATAGGATAGTCCCTTCATTTTAGAAAAACACAGTCTCATTGCAAGCTCCCTGCTGGTAGCCTGGGAGGGCAGCATAGGATGGCCTATGATACCCTGCACCCACATGGGAGGCCCAGAAGAAACTCCTGGCTCCTGGTTTCACATTGATCCGGTGCTGGCCATTGCAGCCATTTTGGGAGTGAACCAGAAGGGGAAAATTCTCTATCTCTCCCTTTCCCTATGTACAACTGCAACTTTGAAATAAAACAAATCGTTCTTTAATTGAATATAATAATGTCTCCTTTCTAAATTATAGTTAATTCTCATTTGCTTGGGCATGAGGAAGCCTAGAGAAAACTCAGTTGTGCAACTGGGTAATACCTCACCATTCCATTTGGGGCCAAAGGGCAAGACTGTTCAGAAGAGAGTTTCAGTCAGTCAAATCAACAGCCATGTCCAGCTGAACGGATCAGAACTTTTTTTTTAGTTTGTGAATCTGCAGCTAACTAAGAATAGTTCCCAGAGAAATTTCAATGTGCTTAAGCCCATTTTTCAGTGGGTTAAAAAGTGAAGTTAAAAAATAGAATATTATGTCCTGTTGAAAGTACAGGAATTTAGAAAATATTTATTCATTTTGATAAGCACTAATCAGATTTGCTCAGGTGGGTTTTTTTGTTTTTGTTTTTGTTTTTGTTTTTTTGCTGTTCTTGTTTCTGAGACAGCCAGAGAACATTCAGTTCTTTCTTCCTTAGCTTAGTAGTAAACTATTTCTCTGACACTGTGTAAGTCTTTAGTGCACTTTTGTTGACCTCCTGATTTGCAGTCACCATGTTGCCTTTCCCTGCTTTTAGATTTTAGGTGAAACATGGAATTATTTAAAAGGCTAAAACAGTGTTTACCACAGAGAAATCTGATGGAATCCGGACAGTTTGGTTGGCTTTCTTAATGTTGATTTTAGGCCTCAATTTACTCTCAATCTGTATTATGTTCCCTCTGGGATGATGGGAACCTATGGGATTGTTGTGATACTAATTTAGTCAAAATAGGTTTTATTTGGGGAATTTGGACTGAGAAAGACAGAGACAGATGGGATAATTCCTAGAGAGAACCTCAGATTGAGGGAGGAAGTACATGTTTATGGGGTACCATGTGATGTTTCAA